GAAAGTACCAAAAGTGATATTAGCCCAAGAAGGATTTTTAGAGCTGGCGGGTGCGCACGTATCATGCGCCTAGTAAAATTTGAAAAAAAAAAGCTCTTTTAAAAGCACTTCGCAAAAAAAATACCAGTCTCGTTTTGTTAAAACATATCCAGTATGAAGTTTTATTAAAATCCGTCGAAAATAACTTAAAATAGGAACCATTACCTATGGATAGTACCATGCAATCACGGGGATTACGAAGTTGCCAAAAAGTAAAGAAAGAGCAAACAGCTTAATTCAACCAATACGTAGAAAGTGAATTTACATACCGCAATTCTGAAGTCACAAATGTAAGTAAGCTACAGAATATAACCATCCAGGGAACTTCTTCTTTTTTTTTTTTCGCATTCCTCTTAAGCAAAATTTCCAACACGGAAGTCGTCCCCACCAAACCTTACAATAGTGAAACATTTGTGGAGTAAAATCATGACGACTAACTAACAACACACGCAAACGATGACGAAAAGTAGTAATATCAAGTAAGAAACCACGTTGCACACAAAAAGCAATTTGCCGCCAAAGTTTCGCGTCCAACCAAAGTGAAACTAGCGCAATCGGCACTCAGCCACACGTTAATTCTGCAACGATATAAAGAAATATAGAAAACACAACAAACAAATATCTATTTCTCCCTAACAACTATCACTCTTTACAGGTTTTCTTCAGAATCATAGTTGCTAAACACGCATTTGAAGAATATCAAACACGCGCATTACTCTGCTTCATTACTGACTTTCCTTTCGGTTATCGCCTTGAAATGATTCGAACCTGGCGAGCTGCCAGTGTGGCTCTCAGTTTTAAGCCGCCACCTGAGCTCTTCTCCTCCTATAATCCAAAGGGTCCAGTGGTTCACAGCTCAGAGCACTTGAGCATTTCGCGAGGTTCTAATAACATGTACTCTCCACTTTCAAACTTATGAAGGTTCTTAACAATTTTCAAAAGAAAGAAAAATCAACTCATCGCAAATTACTACGTAGTTCCCTAGTTCATCTAATTCTGTAGGATTATTTTCGTCATTTATCAAAAATTCCGCTATGCTTTTTCCTTTTCTAATACTTTCGTGCGAGTGTATGCCATATTTTGATGCTCATTGTTTTTTAGTCCCTTGAAGTATTAATATGGATTCTGCTTCAAGTAGTTCTTCTCAAAATCAAGTTGCGGACTTCCAAGTCGCCTGAAGGGCATGATAGTTTATAAATGAAAATAATTCAGAAATTCTCGAAGACCGTTTGATACACATTTTGCAGTTTTTAAGCAGAGAGCAATTTTTACTAATTCTTGTAAGGAACTAATTTTTTTTCTATCGCTTGGTTTCATCAAATACACAGTGGCGACAATAATTTAATACCGTTGAAAAGAACTTCTCTGGCCTAATTACTCATAGGAAGTAGCTCTGTCATTCTTTTCTTTTCTACGCTTCCTATTAAGTTTAGAACTACAATCTTACGAACTGTCCAAGAAACACTTTTTAGATTTAAAATTACTATATACAGACGTTAAATACCAAAACGGAGAAAAGCAAGATTCCGATGACAGTCAAAAAGTTCAAATATATGACAAGTAACGGAAACGATGGTGAGGAGTAAATGGTAAAGTGGGAAAGATTTAATACTTTGTGGGATACTCATTTTGCTAGGTTGTGCTTTCTATCCTATTTCCTATCAAAGCTACCACCCAAACATCCGTCACCTGGCCCTTGATACTTTACTGTTTTCTTCCCGAATTACTGTTACGACCTGTTGAATATTCCCTAATCTTTTATCTCTAATGTGAAAGTGCAAGCCTCTTCATAATACTTCTTTTGGGTCTAAATCGGTACTGTACAAGGGCTGGCTTTTGCCAATCTGCGAATTCCTCGCAATCAATATCTGAGAATTTTCCAGTTTCCTTGTTTATATCCGCATTTAAAAAACTAAAAAGGCGATTTTGAGAAGTCAGTTTTCAGCCAAATTGACCCTCTAAATTTGCAAAATTTGCCACGTCACTACATAAAATGCCTGTCTTCTTGAATTTGCATTTTAGCTCACCCTTAATGAAGTTCAGTATTTTTTAAATTTTCGTCTTTTAATTCCGTGAAACAGGCTGATAAATACAAAAGATGTGAAAGTTAGGGTAAATTTGGAAAAAAACAGTGCTTTTTTTAATTTGGGAAAAAGCCTCTTGTAAAATGGCGTTTCCTTTAAACAAAGTACGAACTGGTGTAATTTTTCTCTAAAGGTGTCAAAAGTTCTGCAATAAAAAGCGAGCAGGTCGTCACAGCAGTCGCATGCATTTTTACAGTCAAGGGGCCGACGTCAGCCGCAGAATCTGCTTCTGAAAGCCGAGGCGAGCCGTTTGGGTACTCATTACATTTCAGTCGTTTAAGATTTCTCACGGAATTGTGTTTCACATGACGAAAATGTTTGCAACTCAATTCTGTGCAGACTTGTAACATGCTGCCGTTATTCCAGCATCCCCTGCTTTGTAAATTTTGTGCTCATCTGCAACAGTCAAGAACGAAAGTTATGTTTATTTACATAACTGGTATTTTAACTGGTGTCTAACTAACTAGGTTCTTAGCCCGTTTTCTTTTTCTTTTCTTATGTCCCTAATCACCGTTCTTTTTATTTCTGTGGTTCGACGTAGATTTTTTGTTTTCACAAAGTCTGAACGATCCTTCTTTACCTACTTTTGAAAAGCCTCCAGCTCGTGCTGAAGGTTTTTTTTTACCAAGACTTTGTGTCGTTTCTATAAATCTCAAATTTTCTCTTCCTTTGCCACTCCCAAGTCTTTTTATTCATAATTTCTTCCCGTTGGATTTTGAGTCTCAATTTTTCTAAGGTTCTTGTTTACCTAAATCGCTCCATCAAGCTGGGGTTGGACCAAATAAGGAAACATCCTGTGATTATCCAACAGTTGGTTGGAACTGAATATAAGTTGCTCCAAAACGTAGACAAATGGGATGGTGAGGCAGTAGAGTAATTGGAAAATAATTTTGATCTTGCTGCAGTTCTAAAAAATAAAGTTGGTTCTCGTTTCAGAGAAGCAGGGTATAAACTTCTGTTTCAGTACTGGACCAGCTCCGGTGCACGGGATTAGGACAACAAGTAGTTCGACACTTAAGATCTCAGTTTCGAGGCGCACGTTATGCAGATGAACTGGAAGTGTATATATAAGTTAGATTTATTGTCCAAACATAGGAAGAGCCCTGATGTAAAATTTAATGAAGATACGATAGTCCTGATTTAGTCATTCTTCTTTTGATCCAGAAAACATCATTAGAAGACGTGCGAGCGTGCTATTTAAAAGTGCATCACTTCATTACGAGCCCTCAATCATTATTTATTCGTGCTGAGAACCGCAAGGAAATAGAAAGATCAACTGCCTTACCCAACTGTTTTTGTCTACTAACAAGCTTAAAATATGCATGCACTTTTACTTCCGGATAAACTCCACAGTTCGCTATAGCAGAACGCGCTTGAGTTCACTAAACCCCAACACCTCGCCATCCTGCGTATTACTTTTTGTAGATCTAACTTTAAAGAGTCTAAAGTTTTCCCAGCCACCTCCTTCCTCCTTTGTAATTTGCATTTGATACAGCGAGGAATCAAGAAAGCATTATTCGTCCAAACCTCGCCACTCTCCAAACTAGATCTGACGGCCAGTCCCCAAACACTACGAATAGTAACAGAAGAAGTAACAGAACTTTGGCAGACGAAATAAAACAAGATAACAAAACAGTCCAGGAACTCTCACCATTTTCCAATACCTCTGGGAGAATTCCACTTCTTTTGCACAGAACTCTTCTCCGCTAACGTCTACCGGCTTCCGCAGAATGGAAGCACACAGAGCTTCTGCCGCCAACTGATTTAAAGGAAAAACGCCAAACTCTGGACAATTATAAAGCAAGCCTGTTGTTAAGTTTGCTCGTACGAATTCTTCAAGTTAAACCTCTCCAGATTCTTAAAACAGACTCAAGGGATTTCAGTATTCCACTTTCCATCCACCAAGTTTTGATGGAAGACAAAAGAAAAAAGCAACAAATTCTGTAAAACTAACGTACAGCAATAAATACTGCATTATCAAGACGTTCTGGTGCCCCGCCAGCCTCAAATTACTAAAAAAAGAAGCTAAAAAACATTTTTCAAAAACAATTTCAGTTATTTATAAATAAATTACAGCAATAAAACAGTACCAAGATAAACAACACGCCCAAACCACAACCAAATAAACACATAAGAACAACTAATCTGCTACTTAGCTAGGTCATAGCCATCCCCCTTCGGAATACATCATATAAAACTTGACAGTTTTACGTTTTCTACAATACCCTGTTGCGAAATAAATTAGATATAGAGACTTCCTTTGCATTACCAGTACCAAATTCTCGTAAAAAATAAATAAGTAAAATTAGATATAGACTACACAAACCAAAGAAACATACATATAACTGATATTCAGCAGCAAAATATATTTTAAAAAGCTAAAAAAATCGAGCAGCCATGTAATAATTTCGGAAAAAAATAGTCAGAAGGATATATACCGTTACTATTCTGTCCATGAAAGAGGACAAATGTTCACTAGTTCCCGCAATCTACCTAAACGTATCCAAACATCACAAGTACATACGAGATCATCCAGTAAAATCCAGCAAAACTGAATTTTCACGTAGATCCTCTTACTTCTGGTAATACGCATTTAAGATGTTATTATACTTTTTCAAAGCTGCTGCACATTCTTCCCTTTCCTTTTCATTAGCTGGCCTCTTTGGTGGGTAATCGCGAAAATACTTCTCACGTACCGCAGTCAACTAAAATTGGGGTTTTTTTTAAATGGCACTCAAGATTTATCTTTTTAAATTTTTTAACACTTACCTAATGAACGAGAACCTAAAAACAACCTCTTTTGTAGCTTGGAATAAATCTTTTTCCAACTTGTTGCGCAAATACTCGGCTAGCATACGATGCCAAACTGTAATAACTATATAACGGCATGCTTCATTTCGATCTTGTAAATCCTCCTTAGCCTTCTTCAGTGCCGCTGTGACTTGGTCCTGAAAATAACATAACTGGACATTAAACTGATCAAGTTTGACAAATTTTTTCGACAAGACCCATCTTTAGTTACATACCCGCAAACCAGATTTCTCTTTGAAATTAAAATTTATGCTGCCACCAGTCTATAACCTTCTTTAGTCCACCGTACGCAGAAATCCATAAAAGCCCCAAACAGCCTTATGAATACAGCAAATTCTCAATATTATTGGTTACTTACACTGCTGATGGAAATCAAGTTAAACAAAAGAATTCAAAATGTTGTCATAAGCAGACCTTGACACACTCTGATAAAATATCTTCCTTAGAAACAAAAATGAAAGAACTTTCTACAGCTACTCAATCTACCCGCAAAAAAAAAAAACCAAAGAGTGGCAAATCGAAACAGCTTACCAATCCCTGACCAAGTTCCACAGGCTCACTCTTCTCCACTCCAACCTCTAGCTCTTCAGTTTGATATGCTGGAATGCACAGGCCGTTGCCGTTTATTGAGCTGAAACTCAGGCTCCCACCAGAGACAATCGGCTTGCTATCAATACTGTTAGTACTTTCAATAACACCTTGAAAATTTTCTGATAAGTCGTGTAAATGTAGTTATCCGACAAAAAACGGAAAAGAAAACTCAGGCACATAGTAAACGATAGTACTCTAAAAAAATCAACAGAGTGTGTAAAACAAATACTCAATTTTAAGAACATTAAATCACATTTTTCAAAAACTTGCTCCTACACCAAACTACCGAATACCGAAATAACAGAGCAGTCAAAGTTGAGGCAAAAAAAAAGAAATCAACCACTACACCTATACATGTAAAACGATTAAAAAAATGTCTACAAAGTTCATTTTAAATTAACTTCCAGTAATAAAAATCCAATACTAAAAACTCGGTTGGATTATTGGTAAACTGTTTTTCTTTTGAACGATTATGAAATGCGACTGCGTAAGAGACAGAAACTGATCGAAGAACAGGTAGCTAACAATACCAAAACATTTAAAAGCATCACCGCAAACTTCAAGAGCGATCGAAAAGTAATCACATACACAAGGGCTGCTGTAAAAATTGAGTAGTTGAATACCTTTTACAAAATTTATTAACGTCTTCTTGAATGATTCAAACTGTGCCATAACTCGGGAACCACTGGTGCCATTAATTTCTTTAGCTTCCCCATCAGTGACTTCTTTCTTCAACAATTTTTTCTCCCCCTCCTTAATGAATTCGCCTTGCGAGGCTAAATTCAAATATATTACGTAAAAGAATTACGCAAAAGAGATGATAAACAAGAAAAATTACAAAAGAATAAAGTCAAGTGTAAAAACTAACCATTTATCACACTTATTACTGTATCTTTTAAATTTTTGTACTCAATTCCAAGGTAGGAACTGTCAAATTTATTGACAAGCTGCTGTTCTTCACAGTTCACAAATTTCCTATCCACTTGCTCTTCCATTTCGTCCGCCGTCTCACTGCGAACATCTGGCAAAGAATCGATACCTATAAATAGCAACATTTTAGCTCATGAAGCAAATGGTCAGAAAACTAAGTAAAAAACCTCACATTTCAATGAGTTGCATAGTAATCAACCAAGAAATGGTAAAATCACATTAATGAAATCATACCATTACATTCATGCGACTCAGAAATGCCACCGTATATCTGAGAATTCAATTTTTCTTCTGTGCTCCAAGCCTGTATCGTTTCAGCAAGAAGTGAATCAATGCTTTCATCCATCACCCTGTAAAATACTCGCCTCTAAACCTCATTAAGCTATAAAATAAAGCCTAAAACAAACTTAATTTCAACAAAACGACGAAATGCTAAAAATTACGCTCAAAAAATGTTGCTGGACAAACTGTTAATTGTTCCTACAGCTTATTTTTTACATTTTTTACTCCAATAAATAGATACTAAACATTTTTCTTCGAGAAGATGTGAAAGTAAAAACTACAAACAACTCGCTGAAGGAAAGTGATCTACGAAACAAGTTAAAATAATAACGAATGAAACCTTGCTATTTTTGCCGGCCTCCCGGTACGTTTTGAACAGCTATTCTGACGTTTCAGCAAAGCTTTACTTGTAGGTGAAGTCAGTCGACTAAAAAGAAGGCATAAAACGTTGAAACTTTAATGAGATACAGAAAAAAAAACAATAAATTCAAACAATCATATCATTTCAAACTCAAACAGAATGTGGATTTCTGAAACTAAATATGAATCAAAGAACACTCCATTTTCCTTTTATGTTATAAAAACGATGAGAACGAAAGTATTCTAAAAGAACCTTGCTGCTGCCGGTACTCCTTCTACGCCGACACTGTCTGCTACAACTGTATTATTTGGAACTGTAGCTGAAGAGAATACTAGTATAAAAAAGTACTACTTCAAGAAACCAAAAAAAAAAGTAAAAATAAAAACGCCTTTTATAAAACAAAGAACATTCTAAAAACACTACTTCCACTAATTTTTGACGACTCGTATGAAAGTGGAGATAAAATCTGCGTGTAATAGCGATAGAGAAAGGCTTCATCAATAGAACCCTCGTAATCCTTGATAAACTTCCAGAACTTCCCAGGCATGTTAACTGTAGGGCAAGAGCTTTCATACTCATCGTCCACATTCGCCGCAGTATCATCTACGGTGCTACAATAGCAGAGTAATTAACGTCTCTTATTTCAGTCAAATTTCCCTTTTCGCTTGCACACGTTGCATGATGATATGCATTACGAGTACGTAGGAGAGGCAAATTGGAAAACTAATTCAGTGACCTACACTTCTTCATCAGCTTCTGCACTGGTGCTGGGAGGGATTTCTTCCAAAGTTCTTGACTCATAATACGGCATTAATCTCTTTGATATATCTTCTGAACGATAATCACCTGTCTCCATAAAGTGTATTTCACCACTAATTTTCTTCTGATGATCAATACAATGCGTCAGAAACATGTTTAACTCACTCTGTACCTGTTGCTGCAAATCATTTAAAGAAGTAGAACTAGTATTTTCCGTCAAAACTAAATTACAAAAAAGATTTTTTCAAGCTAATGTGTGGAAGTCAATTACTGTTACCAAATCAAGTAACTCGGCTTCGACATCCCGAACTTCCGTACCAAGCTCGGCCACAAGCTTAGGGCACTTACGAGAAATAGGAAATTCAGCAAAATCTGGTAGCACTTTCGAAACATCTTCACTCTGAATCCTTCGACGCGTATGAACAGGAGAAAAGTTACCTGAAGTGACAAGTAAAAAGAAAATCGCCGAAACTATCATAAGGGTGAGAAGTTTTCTAACCAAACTAATAGCCTACCTATTAATTTACTCTTCTGTTCTGGCGATAAGGGAGATTTAGGCGACAAAGCTTCGACGGAAGATGTCATACTTACTGAACCAACACAATTTCGTGCTCGAGCCCTCATCCTTAAAATCTTAGCAATATTAAGCGGTAAAAATCTACAACTGAAATGTGCATGACAATAATACTGCTTAAGGCCACGATATATTTTTATTCGTCCAATTTGTTTTGAAACGCATTTCAGCAGAAATGCTAAGAAGGCTCCTTAAAAATAAGGAGCAGAATTTTATTCTTGATCCCCTTCAATCTGACCAAAACAAGTGCACTAGATAAGCTTCTTTGCTTGCGGAATATACCAACAATCCAGCTGTCATCAACTGCAAATCAAGTTTAAACTTATGCTGAAATCCATCTTATCACTGAAGAAACTAAAGTATAAAACGGTTCATTGTAAAAGCTTCCCTACTGTATGAATCATACAAATAACAGCTGATTATGAAAAAATGCACTGAACGCGCAACGCCGCTCGCAGTGCTCATCACAAATTTCCTATAATCAACATTCTGAAAAGACGGCAAATTTAAATTTTTTGCCACTTGCAGCGCACTAATTTTTTTGCTAGGGCCGCAAGCGTTTTCATCATACTGTCAGCGCTTTGTTTCCGCTTTGTTTATTCGTTAGTATTTTCATTTAATTTCTATACCTTTTAATTTTCTTTTTTTTTTTTTTTTATACGAATGTTTAATGACTGCTCACAGTGCTGGGGTTAGACTTGAAGAAGTGTTTTTACAGCTTTTTTGATTAATTCATATTTTTTCTTTTCAGGTCCTGCTTTCTCACGTGCTTTTGTCGTAAACCACGATCCGTACAGCCTTATTATTAATTTCTTCAAGAATATTACCGACTTCTAAAGTGTCAGTGACTGACTTATGCCTGTATTGCTAGTGGCAGTATTTTAACCATGATTTTTCAATAAATTTGATCCGCAGTCGCAGAAGAAGGACTGTGGAATGTGGAAATATCTTGCTGGTTTTTATGTAATCGCTCACAAAATAAAAGCTATTTTAAAAGAGAAAGTCATTTTACGACATAATAAATGTCTTTCGCAGAAGAGGAATTTTTTCTTTGTGTATACTACCTATTTGTTTACTTCTTATGACACAAAAAATTCATTAGCTTGAAAGTTTTTGTGAAAAATTCTCTGTTACAAAGTTTTTCTTATTAGTAGCAAGA